TTTACATTTGAAAAGTTTAAAGCAAGGTCACGAGGTCACCGTAGTTGCCATAGATGAGTATTATTTGTGGCAGACTTACTGTCGGCATCCCAATTTAGGCTCTTATGTCGGTGATGCATTATAGCAGAGTTTCCCAACTTATTTCATCCCCAAGAAAGAATTTTATTGTTTTTCGTGATGATCAACTTTTACTTTATATTTTCGTATAGTACTACTAACCCCTTTTCTTATGTACTATTATTGTAATACATCCGTTATGATACGTATGCACACATAATAGGCAATTTAAAGTGTACAAAAGCCAAATAAATAGCTCGTTTTAGTATCCCTTGCATACGATCTATTAAACATGAAACAACAACTGTTTTATGCGAAGCGAGGGAGGTTTCGAAATGAACAAATAGACGAATGTATCAGAAAAAAATTCGGAACCACCTTTTTTATGTTCACATGAGATGTTAGTATATGTTGCCAGAACAGTTGGAAATGCGGATGGATATATGACGGCAATCGTCATGAGCTTGTTGGGCTGGGCAGTCATGTGGACAACGCGTCTGATTTTTGAAGCAGCTACACAACATGTGTACTCACATCCAAGTTAACTTGTTGTTTTTTAGTTTTAAGTTTAAACCTGAGCATTTCCGATATTAAACAAGTTTTCCTAGAATTCTGAATATGTGATTCACAGTGTGGATTAGAAAAGTATAATCGAAGTACAGTATGAAAATATACGTAAAAATACGATAAAACAATAGGATTGAAATAACAGTTAAAATGACATTCTGCTTTTCAATGCATAAGTGAAGTTAAGGCGAATAATTAACAGTATGAAAATTTTATAAGTACCAAGTCATTTTGTTAATTTTAAAATAAAGTCACGAGAAGTTCAATAATTAAAAGTCGACTTTTCTGAAAGACACTTTGAAAAATATGCATAACTTCATGAAAAATGATCATTATAATGTACATATTTTGAGTTTGGCGACAACTAATCAAATTGAAGTTTGACTTTTAAAGCTTCATCGACCTTTTTTGTGAACAATCCCATTTTTAAAATAAACTCGCCAAAATTTATGCCTGGTAAAATTTGTTGAAATAGTGATACTGGACAACATCACATCAACTAAAAGCATGAATATTAAATATACATAAATCACACAACACAGGAAACGATGTAATACCCACCAAGACAATAGAAAGACACAAAAAATCAACGTAAACTTGAAGAGAAATAATGGCTAAGATGAAAGGTTCTCAGCCAAAACTGACAATGAAGAAAGAGGCAGATATCCAATCGGTACAAGACTCAGTGGTTTTCATAAACTTAACCAGACTAAGAAGTCCAATCGAAGAAGCAAATTCTGTAAATTTTGTTAAAAGCCATGACCAACGCCTCACGATCAGTATAGTAAATTGTGTGAGTACAACGACGAATCTAAAAAATACAGCCTTTCGAAAATAATAGGGCTCTACAATCTACATCCATGTATCTGTTAGTGAGTATATAGAACTTATATAGACATGATAATAAATTTGTGGTGCCACTGGAAAATAATTGAAGATTCCTCATTGACTATTTTATACAAAATGAAGAAACGACGTAATAACGAATCAATTTTCAATGTAATAACAGAAATATAAATTCATCCCCTACCTCAAAGCAACACAAATCGTTTTTATATTTGATTACATACATGGATTCCTAAACAAAGAGGGGGTTTAATCTCAGTTTTGCATTTAGTCTCAGTTTTGTCATGATACCGGTGAAGATGTTACATGGATCTACACAACTGTGTTCTCATAGCATTTATCTTCAATATCATCTCTGTATTCAACTGTTTCAACATTTGGAAGTGCAACATACAAAGCCCGTTTCATTCTTCTTGTCTTATTTTTCTTCCACACGATGTTTGTGTTACCCTAAAATAATAATGGTTATAAATATACTTTTGTTGCACGATGGCAATGGATTCGTTTATTAGGAATTATGCAAGTTTATTAACGTTTGAAATTTTTCTGAAGGCCTTACAAGTCAGTTACGAATCTGCCATTTCTATTGTAATGTGTATTTATATGTTATGGATAATACCTGCTTTTTCATAAATTTTTTTATGGTGATGGCGACGGTATCATTTTCCTTAGCTCTTTCAGTCAACATTTTCTTCATGTCTTTAGAGCACACAAAAACTATTCCCAAGTCTTTTTTCACACTTTCTCGAAGTCCCTGAGTGGTCATATTTAAATTAAGCAATACAGTCATCTTCTATTACAACTAGTACATCATATAGTCTGGAGTAAGCAATCAAAGATATTTTTTCGAATTTGAAAATGAAACTTACGATATTCAATGAATCGTTTGAATAAAATTTTGAATGAACCCCAAATAAAACCAATCATCTCACGCTGGGTGTAATGAAATGGTTTTTATTGAATCAAAACGATATCTATTCTATCAAATACATTTCGAACAAGAGGGTTGAATACGTAAAACTCATCACTTACTCGATGCTTACAAACACGGAGGCTGACCTTTTGTGCGGCAAATTTTTGCGCCCTTCAGGATATATACCTTACCCGAGTGGTTGCGGTAGGGGCAAAGCAGGCATATATATAATGTAGTAGGCAAAAATTAAGCAAACAAAGTTGTATTCACGCCAAAAATAATAGCACGAAAAGTTTTTTGACAACGGCACCAGTCCATTATGCTCACCTCGTATGTTTTGAATATTTCAATATCGTTTTGTTAAATTAATTCTGGGGTCACAATTACCACCATTTTCATACATTTTTCCAGAGTTGATCTGAAGTCGTTTCCAATGGTCACTAAAAAGTGTTAATTTTCAAAATCACGGAAACATAACTAACTCACTATATATATATACTGTACTGTAATGTGATCTGAAGAAATTGTGGCCTGCACATGTTAGGTAATCGGTTAACTTAGTTTGGCCTCCAAAATCACCAATGAGAATAACTTTGAAAACGCGAAAAAATTTCATGTTAACATTTCTCGATTTCACAGTTTTAGATTTCCATTATAGCGCAGTCATATTTGGCGGGATCTAATATACGATGTGTTGTATAAGCTAAAATGTTACAAAATCCTTGAAGCGTTAAAGTATTGGCCCAATCGGTTGAAGCTCATAACTAGAGACGGCTTTTTACAAAATTTCAGAGGTTCGCAAGGAAACCAATGTCACATGACCCTTGCTCCAGTGGCCAAACTTTGCAGGGTTTATAACAGAAATTGGTTGAAACTCCTGCTGTAGAAATTATTAAATGAAAGGGTCATGTCTGAAAAGCAAAGGGGTGGGTTTACCAAGAAATATCTTTAATGCCAACATCTAGGTCAGGATGGTCTAAGGTTGTCCGGGGGCCAAAAATCACTGTGCTGTACTGTAATACTCTTTAGGCTGGTTACCGGAAACACCAAGCATGAATTATATTGATGGGCCTAAACATTAATATTCCGTTATCGGGCATAGTCAATAGGCTAATAGAATCCACATTCGATTTTTAGTTTTCTATGATGCCAAAACTGTTAGCATATATTCTCGACCAAATAGTTAGAAAGCCAGGTAACAATTTACTGCCGAGCACGTCGTTCAACATGCTATTTGCGTCAGCTAGCCATACCGCCGGCCAATGCAGTGATATCAGGGATGTAACAATAAGACTTTTCTGGTTAATTTTATGACGAAACAACACCAAATGAGATTTTTTGATTACTCTCCGAATGCGACGCGGGTCACAGATAATGAAGCCGCAGATCACATGTTGCCCGTAGGCCTGAACTACCCTGATCTAGATGGAATAGTTTTATACTTACTAAAAATATCATTGTGACTTTTGTTTGGATCATAGTAAGTCCCTTTTGATTCATTCAAATACTTCATCAGAACATCAAGACCGTTATTGTTATGGTTGTCAAATGCATCAGGCATGTAGACCAAATATGCTAAATACTTGTCAGCTGAATTGAAACAAAGCAAAATAGAATTTATATGAAAAATTGGAAAATTCGAATTCAACCTACAGTTGAGCGCAATGGTTTTGTTAATACTGTGAATAATAGGTTTTTCCCTTTATTTAATAATTACTTCGGACTCTTAGCTATCATTTGCCGGATACGAGATAGTATTAACTATTCTATGCTTAGCGTTCTTTCCCGTTTTGTTTCTCCACCTGGTTTACAATGTTAACTTGAAATGATCCAAGCCTCTGTCAGAAAATTCATGACACTGGCTATCTCGATTTTGCTCCAATTTCTCGTGTCCAATTTCAATGATTATTTTTTATTTTTATTTAGGAACGCTATATTAAATGTCACTGCACGTTTATATTGATTGATCACTTACTTTCCTTTTTCTTTCCAAAGCATTTTTTCCAAAAATAACGTATTTCGGTCGAAAATTGCCGATAAAGAATTCCAAAAATAACTGCAATGACCCCGCAAGCTGAAACGAAAAATGATGTCATTTATTCGATCAAATTTTGAAATATAACTTTTAATGGTAGTTTGCCGAGTCATTTTTGTGTTACTTTGTTATTAAGAACTTGCGTTTCTCGTCAAGAAGGCGAATCAACTATTAATTTTTTTCAACCGAGGGCGGTTCCATCTGACTTACTTATTTTAAAAGGCGTGACTCCAGCTCCGACTTCCTAATTGACAGATTTATTTTTATTTAATTCTACTTTTTACATCAATGTCCGAAAATATTCAATTCCAAATCTAGCTTCCGATCCCCATGATAATCAAAAATTGACTAGAAATATTTGACTTTGCATGATTTTTTCAAAGAATGCTGAAAATCCTGATTCTAAAAACTTCAGCTCCTAGAAGCTTGAATTTTTACATTGAACATTTGCCTAAATAGTAATATCAACAAAATAGTCAAACTTCGACCCCCCCTTACCTCCTAGAATTATCCAAATTATTATCAATGTTTTGTGTCTTGATTCCGCATAGCGAACAGTAACTCGGAATTTATCTCTTGGTCATCCCCGATAGTTGCCAAAAGACAGGTGTAGACGCCGCTATCTGAAAAATCTGCATTACTGGAAACAAAAAGCAATAGATTTAGAAATAACTATTTTGTCCTTGTGTTGTCCACCTAAAAAATGGCCCAAGTTTTCATTACATCTACAAATACCAAATACTTTCATTTACATATTACTCTCATAATATGTTGGTAGAATATGTGGGTTTGCGGACGTGGGTCGTTCTCTGTGGACAATGCGGCAAAATTTGAAATATTAGTGCTGGGGCTGCTAATGTCACTAGTGCATTATGACAAGTGCAAGTTTAATGCATTTTCATATTTATGCTCTCCATTTAGAATCTTATCCTTTTTTGTTGGTTTAACCTACATATAAGGTAAAGGACGTGTATGATAAAACATTCCACGACTTGAAAGGAAATCAAGTCACAAGTAAGTTTGACGAATCTATCTTCAACGTACGGATTAAATAAGCATTTTGAGCAAAAAAAAAAAAATTTGAAATTTCAAGTAATTAATAGGCATGTTAGGCCGATCCTTTGCCTCAGGAAAATTCATCCTATTTTTTTATTTTGTGTATTATTTTGTGTCTATTTTTTGTATTCCAACCATTAATTTGGTAAAATATTATTAAGATTTTTTTCATCTCCGGTTCCATAATGTCTGCCACAATTAATTTCGACACTATATTATATATGACTATCTTGGTATTTAAAAAAAAAATTTCAATGCGACCCTTTGCAGTATTTTTTATGGATGTAGCCCTGGCAAAATAAAGAGCTAGATGGTTAAATAGCGTTGCTTGATTTTGGCAGTTTATTTTGTCAATTCAAACGCAAAAACCAACCCACCTGAATGTATAGGTCGCAGTAAAATTGTCAGCAAGCCGCCTTTTTTGAGCCTCAATTGCCTCAGCTTCTGTTAGCGTTTCACAAGAAGCTTCGTTTATGTGACGTTCTCTGTAAAGGACGTATTTCGCGTATTTGTAAGATACTCAGAAAACAGCAAAAACATTTGCTTTAATTTTTGGTGTGTTGTACGGTAAGGCTCAGATTCTGAGATTCGATTGCCGAAAAGTCGTTTTTTACCACATATAACAATCTACTGTTTCAAGCCATATGGTTTTTATTTTAACAGCTCATCAGAAGATTTTGTGTTCCGGCAAAAACGTTAACGGTAATGAGAAAATCGAATAAATAGATATGCGAACTCTTTCCCGTTGTCGATATCACAAGTCGACTCCGAAAGCATAATTATTTGCCCATGTGCATCGAAAGGGAACTTCCTCCTTAGTCATATAGTACACATATCCGTGAATACTTACGATGAGCAGTTGTCGCTCTTTTCATTTACCCTTGAGTGGCATATTTCAGTGTTGTTCCTAGATGAAAAAAATATTGGAACAATTTTAATTAATAAAATATTAGGTAATATAGAATGTAAAACGGTTGAATGTAAAATTTTGACATATCAGCTACAGTAGGCAAGCAATGCAACATGGTAAAAAAATCCACAGCTGTGTTTTGGCGATCTTCAGCAATCCTAACCAAGTTATATATTTTAGCCATAGTTATAAAATATTTATTAAAAACTTTCATTGCAATTTTTGATCACATTCATGTTAACATAACATAAAGGAATGAATGAAATTCAAGTTGGTGGTTTCCAACCTGCGGATGAAGCAGGCACAAGTATAGCCAAGCTTGTCCATGGAAAATATTTTTCTGTCCTATTCCCATACCACCCCATAGCAACTGTGCCCCTCCCATCCCATCCCATTGGATTCCCATTGAAATAAAATTCAATAAAAATTGTTAAATTTAGGTTTAGCGTCTACTAAATAGAACTACATGTACGAAGAAACATGCAAAACAACAAAATTTACGGACTTTGTTACCTTTATATTCATAACTATTATACATGTGTCCATCAACCTTCATGAGGTATATTTTTAATGCTGGATATATTTTGCTCTTTATAACTAACAAAAGAGCTATGCTCAAATATATGAACACGAAGTCCATAACGGAATGTTTAACCATCATTTCCCCGAAAATCATACGGTTTTCTTGTCCCACGTGTCCAATGGGAAATATAAATGTGTGCTGTCTCATTCCGTCCCATGGAAATCCCATGGGACGGGATTGCCAACAGCAAAAGATATATATATATATCGGTAAACTATATTTTGATAAGTTAAAATAAAGTTATTTCGAAAAGAAGTTTGTATATTAATTTGAACTCAATCGTTTATTTAACTGATTCATCATGAAACTTGAGTTTCTTGACTATTTACAGACTCTTGTCCGACATTATCTAAGATTTTCTACCTCAACCAGAATACAGTGGTTTGATCATTATTTCCCCCAATATTTCCTTTGCAATGAACGTCTAAACTTTTTCCAGGCTCCACAATATATTCATCTTCGGATGCAACTATTGTAGGATTGTTTGCATACTCGAATTTTTCTAATAAAACAAAAATTATTTTTTCTAGAACGCTATTATTATTCTCTAGTTTTTGATTTGCTGAAGTACCAGAGACATAATGGTTTTAAATTTAGCGAATTAAAAATAGCTATGTCGTGTAGACAGCAGTTTTGGCAGTATATTTTTGCAATGCTTCCTTGTTGACATGGAGTGTGTGTTTACTTCAAATTTTTGAATATGCCATCTTCAGGTTATTTCAACAAGTACGTTAGAATGCTGCTTTTTCAGGCAGAGTGCTGTTTTAGGAATGTTGCGCATACAATGAGAAAATAAACAAAAGTTAGTTAAAGGGATTTTTAAACCAGAGACCTCTGGGTTTGCATGGTCAACGCAATTAGTACCTGGATACGATATCAATATACTGTATCACTGGATATTTTTTCTATTCTGGACCCAGAAAAATAGTTTTTTTTTTGAGGGCTTTTTATTTTATATTTCCATCTGGACTAATATCTGATCAGTGCAACTGAGTTGAAACTTGAAAAAATAATCACACAGTCATTTTATTTGTACCCAAATTTTGGAAAACTAAAAACCTACAAATTGCTGGAAATCCACCAAAACTTGCGCCTGAAATATCATCAAGGTAAAAAAGTGTCCAGGCTGCTGCCAATATTTCAATTACCAACCTCGGAGATCGTCTTGTTTATTCAATCGAAAGAAAATACAAATATCAACATACATTGTTATGAAATTTTGCACACTGTTAAATATTCAAATATTTTCTTACCTCGTATACAGACTTTATACGATCTTGACGTCAGCTCATTTCCTTTGTAATCCAGAACACAGTGATATAATCCCGGTGTAGTGTTGTATGACGGTTTTGGAATCTATAAGAAGAAATCATTTTAGTCCATGCTATTCCAAACTTTCTTTCCAATTTCAACTTTAACTTCGAGTTATTTATTTCGATTTATTTCATCTAGAAATGTCATGCCTTTTAACATACGTTTATATATTCAAGTATCTCACCTTTAGTGATTTGAATTTTATTTCCTTATAGTTATAGTTCCCATCCTCTTGGTTAAAGTGTTCGTTATTTTCAGAAATTATTTTACAGTCCTTGTACCATGTTGTCGTAATTTCATTGTATTGCTCTTCAGACATTTTCATTTTATTGTTTTGACTTACTTTCGCAGCTGAAATGAACAAGCAATTACATTAGTTTCTCTCAAAATAAAGATCTCTATTCGCTTTCATAAGTTTTAACTTCAATTTGTCTTATATTTCAAAATCAATATAGGGTTGCCAACTTTGTGTTAAACCATTCCGGGACACCTCAATGTCTAGAATTTAAAAATTGATGCAACAGAAGTTTGTGAAACACAAAAGAAGTCAGAGCAACAGTGTGCGCTGCACGTCAATACATATGCGCGTTGTAAATAATTTTATCATAATCAAAGAAACTTGTGAAATATTGACTCTTTGAGGCATAAATGCAAACGCAATGTAAAAAACAGGAAAAATGTACAATTTATTTAATTACTTAAACAAAAGACACAAAAAATCATGAGGTCTTCCAGGTATTTAAATTAGTATTTTTCTTGTGATTTTGCCGCTATAAGAACATCTTTACTTTATTAGTTTCCACAAGTAAATTTTGATTTTAATTTCTTGTCACAAGTTTGTTGAAATTTGCAATCCTTACGAAAATATAATAATCAATGAACTCTTGCTAAGACAAAGAGCTGTCAGCATGGCGTCCTAAAATAGAAGGCTATGCAAGCCTGAAAACTTATTGAATATTCAAGATCTGTCCACAAAAAAGCCTTACACTAGCAGTGCATTATAAACTAAAAACACAAAATATTGTTACACACCGTAACTTTAACGACTACATTTTTTTCAACTTTCACTGGATTAAGTGTTTTGAAGCTCTGTCTAACTTACTGTACTAATTTAAAAAATTAACATTCGAACATTGAAAAGGCCCCCTTGTGCTAGCTTTTCTAAGTTTGTACTTAAGTTTTAAGTACATTTTGCTAGGTATGTGGTGCATCTATTTCACTATGGAAAATTACAATATTCAACTGAGTGTTAAGGAGATGATATTGGAAAGATTTCTCTATTTTTTCGAAAGGGTAACAATCAAACAGACCAGTTTTAATAGCCAATAACAATTTAGTTATATTCAAAAAATTGAATAATATCGTATCCGGTTACCTCAATTGATCTATTCCAGTCAGTGGATAATAAGCAATATTCATAATAGGCAAAAAGTAATAAAATTTACTGTATGAACAGAAGTAACAATGAAATAAAAAAAAAACTTTATAGTATACCATAGCAACTTAAAGTGATCTCTTCTTCTCGGTCTTTGGTACTATGCAGTAATGTACGTGAGCAATTCATGTCTGGAATAGTTTCCAATTCGGTTTGAAAATTATATTCAAATGGGTCGCCGGCCCAAAACTGAAAAAGATATGGTCAATTGATAGATAACAATTGTCGGCGAGTCTGCTAATAACAGCCACAGCGCCAGCCAATAATGCACGAAATTAGGATTCATATCTCTCTTATTTCTTGTAGTAAATAAACATCAAACTGAACCGCTGTTTCGTTATAATAATTGCGTAAATACTATGATATAATTATTCGTTTATTAATTGTCTTCGTCAATGGTAGCTTGTTTCTATCCCGAAGACAATTAAATAAAATTAAATTATTCATCACATTGCGTCAACTAACCCAAATAAAACTTTTTTCAATTTTTTTCGAATTTTCAAAATTTTAATACATACAATTTTAACGGAAATATTAGCATTGTTCCATTTTTTGTCCGCATCACCAAAGTATCCTTCTTTACGTCTGTCACCCCAAGTTATGGTTTTGTTGAATTCAACATTATCATTTCTAGTGATGGTGCACTGAAAGAATAAGATGAATAATTTATTTCATATTATCAATGGTCCTTAAAATATAACTTGAAATTCGGATAAAAGATAATATTGATGAAAAATTCGTACTGTAATGTTTTCATTGTCATCGCCTGGGCGATCTGAGGGTGGTGGCCCAAATGGATGCGGCGGAGCCAAACTTTTGACGGCTTCTTCACATGGAATTCCAACCGGAAAATCTTCCCATAGTCCCACCACTGGAAAATAGTAACGTGGTTGATGCTAACGTTTGAATATTTAAATATATTTTAGATTATATAGACTTTTAATAATACAAGCCAGGCTTCAGTGACCGTTCAAGCAAATATTATAAATCTGTCTTGAATAGTGTCGAAAACTAAATCTAAATTTGGCACTGCAGATCAGATATTTTCTGTTAATGACATTGTTTAATGCGCTAGCAAACGTGAACATATGGAACCATCTTTATCTATAAACACATGTCCATACCACTAAAATTAGCAATAAAAATACGTAATTTCCCTTACCATCTACTCCTTGTGAACCTATAATACATCCACAAATAAACCCAAACAATATATTCAATAAAGCAACGGTCATCGCCATTGCACAATCAGAAATTCCTCATTCTACTAATATATTATGTAGTATTATATATACACCTGCTAAAGGATAAAGTCAAAATGAACTTCTGTAAGTATTCAATTCTCTATTTATCCAACGTAGAATAATTTGAATTTATATACAGGATTCTAACAACGAAAAAATGGATCTCGCATTACGCTGCACCGATGTTACAATAGCCTCATAAATTCGAAAAATTATTATTTCATAAAAAGTTTTTTATTTTATTTATTAAAATTCCCATAATTTGTAGCTTATTGAAGATAATGAATGTCTACTCTAAACGGATCATAACTGGTTAAAATAATGGGTACAAACGCACTCGACGCCTATCTGCCCGCATATGTTCAATTGAGTATAACGTTATATTGCATATACGTGGAAGCATACAAATGAACGCTACATTGTGGTTTGGACAATATGAATATCAATTCGTGAAGCTCATTTCCTTGGTAAAGACACAAACGGTATAAAGAACAATTGAAAATACGTTGTTACATTTCTTAAGACTGATTTGAGTTTCTGCGTATCAATGCATTCTCATCGGATGTGTAAATGTTGGATTGTAAAAATTGGATGTTCGAACCGTGAAAATTTTCTCATAATTTCCTCGCAAAGTATCACTTTAAAAAATCTCATTTAAACAAATATAAAATTGACTTGGAAAGGAAGTCTAACTTGAACAGCAGTAACCAAACTTGATGGAAAGCTCGGTTTATTTCAATTTTCACGTCCAAATGGATAAAGGCCTAACGTGATGAACGTTAGGCATTTGCAGCGTTGGTGTAGGACAGAGTTTCTCAAACTTTTTTTGCCCCGGAGAACCTACGCTGGAACACCAAGAAATTAGAAAGTAAAACTGATAACAAAAAAATTGTGTAATGGATTACTTCTTTGTGCATCAATCAGAAAAACCAACCTATCACGACATCTTTTGAGACTTCCCGTTTTAAGCCAACAATCAATCCATTGAAAAGGTTGGTTTCCGAAAAATTTGTCTATGGTAAAATTATAAAGTTTGCTGCAAACTTGAGAACTGGAAAAAAATTAGGCCGACGGTTTACGATATTGAACGGTTGACGAAAACTCGATACTTTCCATGCTGGCTTCTCTGGAAAATCTAGCTATTTCCGTAACATAACTCTGGTTAAGACTCGTCTCTAAAAACTATAGTTCCAGTTGCTAGGCTATAAACAGTAGAGTTAATGGCCTAAAATTGAAATAAAAACATCGCGGGCTATAGTAAGCCTATTTCATCCGACTTCATCCGACAAATCTAAGGCAAATTTTTTTTTATGGATAGCCAGTTAAAGACAAGCATTAAAAAATGACATTTTCGTGAAATATGTTAAGAGTCGACCTTGCCGCCCCGAAGTTTTTATACAGAAAATCACAAATATTCACCGAATCTTATAGTATTATTATTATATATATATACATAAAAAAAATTGAAATTGATTGATATCTCGCAACTAAACCTAATACTTATTGCTCTCAATTTTTTGTTGGTATGCTATTAGTATTGCATATAAAAAAATTACTAATAGAATTCACCAAATGTCACGTTCGCGTAAAAAAATATTCTATACACCGACAGTGCATTACCGGACGTGAATCACCCAGTTCCGAAGTATGTTGGGCCTTTCGAATTCCACATACCTGAGGCATACATACACATGGCACGTATTTTTACGCAAGCCATACAACGGAATAAATTTAGAATTTTACCTAACAAATGGATTGTTAGTATTTCGGTAATTTTTGTGTTGTCACTGCATTGGTAGATGTATTATACTATCATAGCGTGTGAAATTATTTTCAAATTGTATTTTATTCTGAATTTTTTTTGATTCCGAATATATACTCTGAAATTAGATTTAATTTGCTATGTATTTTGATATGCCTCCTTATAAGTCACCCGCTTTGTTAATTTGATGTTAGATTTATAATATACTGGTTGTTTATATTGAAGTAGGAAATCTGCGAGATATGATTTGATGATTTATAAATAAAACGACCATACAAAAACCGAAAACTGTTTCATGTAGTATTACTCCAAATTCCCGAACGGAAATCTCAAATAAATAAATTTGAAATAATAACATGTTGTCTTATCTTTTGCTATTGTATGAACTCTTTATTATTTTGTTAAAACATTAGGCCAGGTTAAATATGGATCACGTGAATAAACCCGCGCCTTATCAAAGTTGTAAATTGGATAATGTTGGATCGGAATCACAAGGCGGTCAAAACTACTAGTCAACCCACATAGGTAATGTATTATTTTACCATATATATTTTCCATTTCAGATTATCTATGTGGATATGAACTGTTGGCTTGTGGCCACAATTGTGTCAAGAACGTTTCCTGTTTTTCATCATTTGAATTGGGATTCCAATGCCCTTTACCACAATAAAATGTCAAATATGCCTATTTACATTTGAAAAGTTTAAAGCAAGGTCACGAGGCCACCGTAATTAGGCTCTTATGTTGGTGATGCATTATAGCAGAGTTTCCCAACTTATTTCATCCCCAAGAAGGAATTTTATTGTTCTTGATGATCAACTTTTACTTTATATTTTCGTATAGTACTACTAACCCCTTTTCTTATGTACTATTATTGTAATACATCCGGTATGATACGTATGCACACATAATAAGCAATTTAAAGTGTACAAAAGTCAAATAGCTCATTTGAGTATCCTTTGCATACGATCCATTAAACATGAAACAACAACTGTTTTATGCGAAGCGAGGGAGGTTTCGAAATGAACAAATAGACGAATGTATTAGAAAAAAATTCGGACCCACCTTTATTATGTTCGCATGAGTTGTTAGTATATGTTGCCAGAACAGTTGGAAATGCGGATGGATATATGACGGCAATCGTCATGAGCTTGTTGGGCTGGGCAGTCATGTAGACAACGCGTCTAATTTTTGAAGAAGCTACACAACATGTGTACTCACTTCCAAGTGCAATTATTTATATAAAGAATTTTTGTTATAATATACGTTGGAAGACAAATGTAAGATAATACGTGTATGTTCAAATCAATCACTCAAGGTAGAGATCTTGAGAGTTCTATGTTGATATACTCCTTGTTAACTTGTTGCTTTTTAGTTTTAATTTCAAACCTGACCACTTCCGATATTAAACAAGTTTTTCTAGAATTCTGAATATGTAAATCACAGTGTTGATTAGAAAAGTATAATTAAAGTACAGTATGAAAATATACGTAAAAATACGATAAAATAATAGGAATGAAATGACAGTTAAAATGACATTTTGCTTTACAATGCATAAGTGAAGTTAGGCGATTAATTGACATTATAAAAATTTAATCAGTACCAAGTCATTTTGTTAATTTTAAAATTAAGTCACGAAGAAGTTCAATAATTAAAAGTCGACTTTTCTGAAAGGCACTTTGAAAAATATGCATAACTTCATAAAAAATGATCATTATAATGTACATATTTTAAGTTTGGGGACAACTAATCAAATTGAAGTTTGACTTCTAAAGCTTCATCGACCTTTTTTGTGAACAATCCCATTTTTAAAATAAACTCGCCAAAATTTATGTCTGGTAAAATTTGTTGAAATAGTGATACTGGACAACATCACATCAACTAGAAGCATGAATATTAAATATACATAAATCACACAACACGAGAACAATGTAATACTCACCAAGACAATAGAAAGACACAAAAAATTAACGTAAACTTGAAGAAAAATAATGGCTAAAATGAAAGATTCTCAGCCAAAACTGACAATGAAGAAAGAGGAAGATATCCAATCGGTACAAGATTCAGTGGTTTTCATAAACTTAACCCGACTAAGAAGTCCAATCGAAGAAGCAAATTCTGTAAATTTTGTTAAAAGCCATGACCAACGCCTCACGATCACGATCAGTATAGTAAATTGTGTGAGTACAACGACGAATCTAAAAAATACAGCCTTTCGAAAATATTATGGCTCTACAATCTACATCCATGTATCTGTTAGTGAGTATATAGAACTTATATAGACATGATAATAAATTTGTGGTGCCTCTGGAAAATAATTGAAGATTCCTCATTGACTGTTTTATACAAAATGAAGAAACGACGTAATAACGAATCAATTTTCAATGTAATAACAGAAATCTAAATTGATCCCCTACCTCAAAGCAACACAAATCGTTTTTATATTTGATTACATACATGGATTCCTAAACAAAGAGGGGGTTTAATCTCAGTTTTGCATTTAGTCTCAGTTTTGTCATGATTCCGGTGAAGATGTCACATGGATCTACACAACTGTGTTCTCATAGCATTTATCTTCAATATCATCTCTGTATTCAACTGTTTCAACATTTGGAAGTGCAACATACAAAGCCCGTTTCATTCTTCTTGTCTTATTTTTCTTCCACACTATGTTCGTGTTACCCTAAAATAATAATTGTTATAAAAATACTTTTGTTGGACGATGGCAAAGGATTCGTTTATTAGGAATTATGCAAGTTTATTAACGTTTGAAATTTTTATAAAGGCCTTACAAGTAAGTTACGAATCTGCCATTTCTATTGTAATGTGTAAATATATGTTATGGATAATACCTGCTTTTTCATAAATTTTTTTATGGTGATGGCGACGGTATCATTTTCCCTAGCTCTTTCAGTCAACTCTTTCTTCATGTCTTTAGAGCACACAAAAACTATTCCCAAGTCTTTTTTCACACTTTCTCGAAGTCCCTGAGTGGTCATATTCAAAATAATCAATACAGTAATCTTCTATTACAACTAGTACATCATATAGTCTGGAGTAAGCAATCAAAGATATTTTTTCGAATTTGAAAATGAAACTTACGATATTCAATGAATCGTTTGAATAAAATTTTGAATGAACCCCAAATAAAACCAATCATCTCACGCTGGGTGTAATGAAATGGTTTTTATTGAATCAAAACGATATCTATTCTATCAAATACATTTTGAAGAAGAGGGTTGAATACGTAAAACTCATCACTTACTCGATGCTTACAAACACGGAGGATGACCTTTTGTGCGGCAAATTTTTGCGCCCTTCAGGATATATACCTTACCCGAGTGGTTGCGGTAGGGGCAAAGCAGGCATATATATAACGTAGTAGGCAAAAATTAAGCAAACAAAGTTGTATTCACGCCAAAAATAATAGCACGAAAAATTAGCACGAAAAGTTTTTTGACAACGGCACCAGTCCATTATGCTCACCTCGTATGTTTTGAATATTTCAATATCGTTTTGTTGAATTAATTCTGGGGTCACAATTACCACCATTTTCATACATTTTTCCAGAGTTGATCTGAAGTCGTTTCCAATGGTCACTAAAAAGTGTTAATTTTCAAAATCACGGAAACATAACTTACTCACTATATATATATACTGTACTGTAATGTGATCTGAAGAAATTGTGGCCTGCACATGTTAGGTAATCGGTTAACTTAGTTTGGCCTCCAAAATCACCAATGGGAATAACTTTGAAAACGCGAAAAAATTTCATGTTAACATTTCTCGATTTCACAGTTTTAGATTTCCATTATAGCGCAGTCATATTTGGCGGGATCTAATATACGATGTGTTGTATAAGCTAAAATGTTACAAAATCCTTGAAGCGTTAAAGTATTGGCCAAATCGGTTGAAGCTCATAACTAAAGACGGCTTTTTACAAAATTTCAGAGGTTCGCAAGGAAACCAATGTCACATGACCCTTGCTCCAGTGGCCAAACTTTGCAGGGTTTATAACAGAAATTGGTTGATACTCCTGCTGTAGAAATTATTAAATGAAAGGGTCATGTCTGAAAATCAAAGGGGTGGGTTTACCAAGAAATATCTTTAATGCCAACATCTAGGTCAGGTGGTCTAAGGTTGTCCGGGGGCCAAAAATCACTGTGCTGTACTGTAATACTCTTTAGGCTGGTTACCGGAAACACCAAGCATGAATTATATTGATGGGCCTAAACATTAATATACCGTTATCGGGCATAGTCAATAGGCTAATAGAATCCACATTCAATTTTTAGTTTTCTATGATGCCAAAACTGTTAGCATATATTCTCGACCAAATAGTTAGAAAGCCAGGTAACAATTTACTGCCGAGCACGTCGTTAAACATGCTAGTTGCGTCAGCTAGCCATACCGCCGGCTAATGCAGTGATATCAGGGATGTAACAATAAGACTTTTCTGGTTAATTTTATGACGAAACAACACCAAATGAGATTTTTTGATTACTCTCCGAATGCGACGCGGGTCACAGATAATGAAGCCGCTGATCACATGTGGCCCGTAGACCTGAACTACCCTGATCTAGATGGAATAGTTTTATACTTACTAAAAATATCATTGTGACTTTTGTTTGGATCATAGTAAGTCCCTTTTGATTCATTCAAATACTTCATCAGAACATCAAGACCGTTATTGTTATGGTTGTCAAATGCATCAGGCATGTAGACCAAATATGCTAAATACTTGTCAGCTGAATTGAAACAAAGCAAAATAGAATTTATATGAAAAATTGGAAAATTCGAATTCAACCTACAGATGAGCGCAATGGTTTTGTTAATACTGTGAATAATAAGTTTTTCCCTTTATTTAATAATTACTTCGGACTTCGGACTTCGGACTCGGAGCTATCATTTGCCGGATACGAGATAGTATTAACTATTCTATGCTTAGCGTTCTTTCCCGTTTTGTTTCTCCACCTGGTTTACAATGTTAACTTGAAATGATCCAAGCCTCTGTCAGAAAATTCATGACACTGGCTATCTCGATTTTGCTCCAATTTCTCGTGTCCAATTTCAATGATTATTTTTTATTTTTATTTAGGAACGCTATATTAAATGTCACTGCTCGTTTATATTGATTGATCACTTACTTTCCTTTTTCTTTCCAAAGCATTTTTTCCAAAAATAACGTATTTCGGTCGAAAATTGCCGATAAAGAATTCCAAAAATAACTGCAATGACCCCGCAAGCTGAAACGAAAAATGATGTCATTTATTCGATCAAATTTTGAAATATAACTTTTAATGGTAGTTTGCCGAGTCATTTTTGTGTTACTTTGTTATTAAGAACTTGCGTTTCTCGTCAAGAAGGCGAATCAACTATTAATTTTTTTTAACCGAGGGCGGTTCCATCTGACTTACTTATTTTAAAAGGCGTGACTCCAGCTCCGACTTCCTAATTGACAGATTTATTTTTATTTAATTCTACTTTTTACATCAATGTCCGAAAATATTCAATTCCAAATCTAGCTTCCGATCCCCATGATAATCAAAAATTGACTAGAAATATTTGACTTTGCATGATTTTTTTAAAGAATGCTGAAAATCCTGATTCTAAAAACTTCAGCTCCTAGAAGCTTGAATTTTTACATTGAACATTTGCCTAAATAGTAATATCAACATAATTTTCAAACTTCAACCCCCCCTTACCTCCTAGAATTATCCAAAATATTATCAATGTTTTGTGTCTTGATTCCGCATAGCGAACAGTAACTCGGAATTTATCTCTTGGGTCATCCCCGATAGTTGCCAAAAGACAGGTGTAGACGCCGCTATCTGAAAAATCTGCATTACTGGAAACAAAAAGCAATAGATTTAGAAATAACTATTTTGTCCTTGTGTAGTCCACCTAAAAAATGGCCCAAGTTTTCATTACATCTACAAATACCAAATACTTTCATTTACATATTACTCTCATAATATGTTGGTAGAATATGTGGGTTTGCGGGCGTGGGTCGTTCTCTGTGGACAATGCGGCAAAATTTGAAATATTAGTGCTGGGGCTGCTAATGTCACTAGTGCATTATGACAAGTGCAAGTTTAATGCATTTTCATATTTATGCTCTCCATTTAGAATCTTATCCTTTTTTGTTGGTTTAACCTACATATAAGGTAAAGGACGTGTATGATAAAACATTCCACGACTTGAAAGGAAATCAAGTCACAAGTAAGTTTGACGAATCTATCTTCAACGTACGGATTAAATAAGCATTTTGAGCAAAAAAAAAATAATTTGAAATTTCAAGTAATTAATAGGCATGTTTGGCCGATCCTTTGCCTCAGGAAAATTCATCCTATTTTTTTATTTTGTGTATTATTTTGTGTCTATTTTTTGTATTCCAACCATTAATTTGGTAAAATATTATTAAGGTTTTTTTCATCTCCGGTTCCATAATGTCTGCCACAATTAATTTCGACACTATATTATATATGACTATCTTGGTATTTAAAAAAAAAATTCCAATGCGACCCTTTGCAGTATTTTTTATGGATGTAGCCCTGGCAAAATAAAGAGATAGATGGTTAAATAGCGTTGCTTGATTTTGGCAGTTTCTTTTGTCAATTCAAACGCAAAAACCAACCCACCTGAATGTATAGGTCGCAGTAAAATTGTCAGCAAGCCGCCTTTTTTGAGCCTCAATTGCCTCAGCTTCTGTTAGCGTTTCACAAGAAGCTTCGTTTATGTGACGTTCTCTGTAAAGGACGTATTTCGCGTATTTGTAAGATACTCAGAAAACAGCAAAAACATTTGCTTTAATTTTTGTTGTGTTGTACGGTAAGGCTCAGATTCTGAGATTCGATTGCCGAAAAGTCGTTTTTTACCACATACAACAATCTACTGTTTCAAGCCATATGGTTTTTATTTTAACAGCTCATCAGAAGATTTTGTGTTCCGGCAAAAACGTTAACGGTAATGAGAAAATCGAATAAATAGATATGCGAACTCTTTCCCGTTGTCGATATCACAAGTCGACTCCGAAAGCATAATTATTTGCCCATGTTCATCGAAAGGGAACTTCCTCCTTAGTCATATAGTACGCATATCCGTGAATACTTACGATGAGCAGTTGTCGCTCTTTTCATTTACCCTTGAGCGGCATATTTCAGTGTTGTTCCTAGATGAAAAAAATATTGGAACAATTTTAATTAATAAAATATTAGGTAATATAGAATGTAAAACGGTTGAATGTAAAATTTTGACATATCAGCTACAGTAGGCAAGCAATGCAACATGGTAAAAAAATCCACAGCTGTGTTTTGGCGATCTTCAGCAATCCTAACCAAGTTATATATTTGAGCCATAGTTATAAAATATTTATTAAAAAATTTCATTGCAATTTTTGCATCACATTTATGTTAACATAACATAAAGGAATGGATGGAATTCAAGTTGGTGGTTTCCAACCTGCGGATGAAGCAGGCACAAGTATAGCCAAGCTTGTCCATGGAAAATATTTTTCTGTCCTATTCCCATATCACCGCATAGCAACTATGCCCGTCCCATCCCATCCCATTGGATTCCCATTGGGATAAAATGCAATAAAAATTGTTAAATTTAGGTTTAGCGTCTACTAAATAGGACTACATGTACAAAGAAACATGCAAAACAACAAAATTTACGGACTTTGTTACCTTTATATTCATAACTATTATACATGTGTCCATCAACCTTCATGAAGTATATTTTTAATGCTGGATATATTTTGCTCTTTATATCTAACAAAAGAGCTATGCTCGAATATATGAACACGAAGTCCATAACGGAATGTTTAACCATCATTTCCCATGGGATGGGATTGCCAACAGCAAAAGATATATATATTGGTAAACTATATTTTAATAAGTTAAAATTAAGTTATTTCGAAAAGAAGTTTGTATATTAATTTGAACTCAATCGTTTATTTAACTGATTCATCATGAAACTTGAGTTTCTTGACTATTTACAGACTCTTGTCCGACATTATCTAAGATTTTCTACCTCAACCAGATTACAGTGGTTTGATCATTATTTCCCCCAATATTTCCTTTGCAATGAACGTCTAAACTTTTTCCAGGCTCCACAATATATTCATCTTCTGATGCAACTATTGTAGGATTGTTTGCATACTCGAATTTTTCTAATAAAACAAAAATCATTTTTTCTAGAACGCTATTATTATTCTCTAGTTTTTGATTTGCTGAAGTACCAGAGACATAATGGTTTTAAATTTAGCGAATTAAAAATAGCTATGTCGTGTAGACAGCAGTTTTGGCAGAATATTTTTGCAATGCTTCCTTGTTGACATAGAGAGTGTGTTCATTCAAATTTTTGAATATGCCATCTTCAGGTTATTTCAACAAGTACGTTAGAATGTTGCTTTTTCAGGCAGAGTGCTGTTTTAAGAATGTTGCGCATACAATGAGAAAATAAACAAAAATTAGTTAAAGGGATTTTTAAACCAGAGACCTCTGGGTTTGCATGGTCAACGCAATTAGTACCTGAATACGATATCAATATACTGTATCACTGGATATTTTTTCTATTCTTGACCCAGAAAAATAGTTTTTTTTTTGAGGGCTTTTTATTTTATATTTTCATCTGGACTAATGTCTGATCAGGGCAACTGAGTTGAAACTCCTACAAAAAAAAATAATCACACAGTCATTTTATTTGTACCCAAATTTTGGAAAACTAATAACCTACAAATTGCTGGAAATCCACGAAAACTTGCGCCTGAAATATCATCAAGGTAAAAAAGTGTCCACGCTGCTGCCAATATTTCAATTACCAACCTCGGAGATCGTCTTGTTTATTCAATCGGAAGAAAATGCAAATATCAACATACATTGTTATGAAATTTTGCACACCGTTAAATATTCAATTATTTTCTTACCTCGTATACAGACTTTATACGATATTGACGTCAGCTCATTTCCTTTGTAATCCAGAACACAGTGATATAATCCCGGTGTAGTGTTGTATGACGGTTTTGGAATCTATAAGAAGAAATCATTTTAGTCCATGCTATTCCAAACTTTCTTGCCAATTTCAACTTTAACTTCGAGTTATTTATTTCGATTTATTTCATCTAGAAATGTCATGCCTTTCAACATACGTTTATATATTTAATTATCTCACCTTTAGTGATTCGAATTTTATTTCATTATAGTTATAGTTCCCATCCTCTTGGTTAAAGTGTTCGTTATTTTCAGAAATTATTTCACAGTCCTTGTACCATGTTGTCGTAATTACATTGTATTGCTCTTCAGACATTTTCATTTTATTGTTTTGACTTACTTTCGCAGCTGAAATGAACAAGCAATTACATTAGTTTCTCTCAAAATAAAGATTTTCATTCGCTTTCATAAATTTTAACTTCAATTTGTCTCATATTTCAAAATCAATATAGGGTTGCCAACTTTGTGTTAAACCATTCCGGGACACCTCAATGTCTAGAATTTTAAAATTGATGCAACAGAAGTTTGTGAAACATAAAAGAAGTCAGAGCAACAGTGTGCGCTGCACGTCAATAAATATGCGCGTTGTAAATAATTTTATCATAATCAAAGAAACTTGTGAAATATTGACTCTTTGAGGCATAAATGCAAATGCAATGTAAAAAACAGGAAAAATGTACAATTTGTGCCAAGCTTATTTAATTACTTAAACAAAAGACACAAAAAATAATGAGGTCTTCCAGGTATTTAAATTAGTATTTTTCTTGTGATTTTGCCGCTATAAGAACATCTTTGTTAGTTTCCACAAGTGAATTTTGATTTTAATTTCCTGTCACAAGTTTGTTAAAATTTGCAATCCTTACGAAAATATAATAATCAAAGTACTCTTGCTAAGTCAGAGAGCTGTCAGCATGGCGTCCTAAAATAGAAGGCTATGCAAGCCTGAAAACTGAATGAATATTCAAAACCTGTTCACCAAAAAGCCTTACACTAGCAGTGCATTATAAACTAAAAACACAAAATATTGTTACACACCGTAACTTTAACGACTAAATTTTTTTCAACTTCCACTGGATTAAGTGTTTTAAAGCTCTGTCTAACTTACTGTACTAATTTAAAAAATTAATATTCGAACATTGAAAAGGCCCCCTTGTGCTAGCTTTTCTAAGTTTGCCCCTCCCCCACCCCCCTTTCTTATTGTGGTCTCAAGGGAAATCTAAACATTTTGCCACTTTTTCATATGAAAGATATTAATAAGTACTGAAGATCAATTTGAGTTTATACAAACTAATAAAATCCAATCCTGTCCTCGCCCTTACTTGCCTTTTACCAGCTTACAGCTACAGAAACGTTTCAAAACTACCTTATACAAATTATATTTTGTAATCGTTTTTATTTGAAAAATAAATATTCGCGTGAATTACATCCGTTTCCAGTTTTAAACGAAGTCGACACGCTTACATGGCCTTTTTTATTTACAACGCCTTAGTTGTCAGTAAATTCCAGGACAATCGTAGCCCAGCCCGGGAAACGGGACGCCACACGTCAATTCTGGGACTGTCCCGGCCATTCCGGGACGGTTGGTAGTCCTAAATCGATACTGTTCGTAGTGCTAGTACATTTTGCTAGGCATGTGGTGCATCTATTTCACTATGGAAAATTACAATATTCAACTGAGTGTAAAGGAGATGATATTGGAAAGATTTCTCTTTATATTTTCGAGAGGGTAACAATCAAACAGACCAGTTTTAATAGCCAATAATAATTTAGTTATATTCAAAAAATTGAATAATATCGTATCCGGTTACCTCAAGTGATCTATTCCAGTCAGTTGATAATAAGCAATATTCATAATAGGCAAAAAGTATTAAAATATACTGTATGAACAGAAGTAACAATGAAAGTAAAAAAAAAACTTTATAGTATATACCGTAGCAACTTAAAGTGATCTCTTCTTCTCGGTCTTTGGTACTATCAAGTAATGTACGTGAGCAATTCATTTCTGGAATAGTTTCCAATTCGGTTTGAAAAATATATTCAAATGGGTCGCCGGCCCAAAACTGGAAAAGATATGGTCAATTGATAGATAACAATTGTCGGCGAGTCTGCTAATAACAGCCACAGCGCCAGCCAATAATGCACGGAATTAGGATTCATATCTCTTATATTTCTTTGAGTAAATAAACACCAAACTGAACCGCTGTTTTGTTATAAATAATTGCATAAATACTATGATATAATTATTCATTTATTAATTTTCTTCGTCAATGGTAGCTTGTTTCTATCCTGAATACAATTAAATAAAATTAAATTATTCATCAGATTGCGTCAACTAACCAAAATAAAAAAATTTTAAATTTTTTTCTCGAATTTTTAAAATTTTAATACATACAATTTTAACGGAAATATTAGCATTGTTCCATTTTTCGTCCGCATCACCAAAGTATCCTTCTTTACGTCTGTCACCCCAAATTATGGTTTTGTTGAATTCAACATTACCATTTCTAGTGATGGTGCACTGAAAGAATAATATAAAATATTTATTTCAAATTATCAATGGGCCATATAGCACCTAAACAATTCCTGAGCGGAAAATTAAAAGTGGCATAAACACATGAGATTGTAACATTAGGCTTTATAGACAATGTGGTTTCTAATGCATGCGTTTGCATTAAGTTAATTGTTTGTCGGGCAGATTAGTGACGATAAGCAAAAAACTTTCAATAATAAATAAATGCTAACTGTCGTCAAAATATTCTTAAAAACAGGTGAGCTTGAAGTTTTCGCGTGCAAGTTTGGTCTGAAGTTTTTCACATTCTGTCAATATTACCCAGAAAGTATCTGCTGAATAAATTTTCGTCATGGCCAGTCGCGTTATGGCGTTAAGATGGTACATAAATACTAGATCAGGCCTCTTTCTGATTAACCTGTCTCTGGTAATTCCGAATCATAGATAAGATTAGCATTCCACTCTTGGCGTGCTGGTTAATAGATATGAAGTTGCTATTTACGTTCATGCGTTGAAACAATAACTTGGCTAGCTATTGCCACGTCAGAATCAGACTGGTAACCCCGATGTGATATTGGCATAATACCAACGTTTCATATGAAGTTTCCGCGCAAAAATATCACAGACTTCAGTGTTTTGTGATTGTTGATAAACAATGTGTTTATTTCTGTTATCGGAAGTATGGGAGAATATCTTAACAAGCTGAACTTTCCATAGATGTCCGGAAAACAAGACTGATTCTGACAATAATTAGCACAATACTGCAGAGGAAATACTCTGGTACCAACATTATCAATGAGAACTGCTGAAAATAGTTTGTTGATGAAACTTTATATTGTTTCCGTGTTGGATAGAAACTGAATGATTGGAGTCTATTGATCTCATTTTCAATTGTCGAGAATTTCACTATTATTAATTTTAAAATTAGAATAATATTTAGTTGAACCAACAGGATTAAAATATAACTTGAAATTCGAATAAAAGATAACATTGATGAAAAATTCGTACTGTAATATTTTCATTGTCATCGCCTGGGCGATCTGTCGGTGGATCTGGATCAAATGGATGCCGCGGATCCAAACTTTTGACGGCTTCTTCACATGGAATTCCAACCGGGAAATCTTTCCATAGTCCCACCACTGGAAAATCGTAACGTGGTTGATGGTAACGTTAGAATATATATATATATATATATATATATTAGATTATATGTACTTTCAAAATACAGACCAGGCTTCAGTGACCGTTCAAGCAAATATTATAAATCTGTCTTGCCAAATGAGTAGTGTCGAAAACTAATTCTAAATTTGGCACTGCAGATCACATATTTTCTGTTAATGACATTGTTTAATGCGCAAGCAAGCGTGAACATATGAAACCATCTTTATCTATAAACACATTTCCATACCTCTAAAATTAGCAATAAACATACATAATTTCCCTTACCATCTACTTCTTGTGAACCTACAATACATCCACAAATAAGTCCAAACAATATATTCAATGAGACAGAAGTCATCGCCATTGCACAATCAGAAATTCTTCTTCCTAATAATATATATGTAGTCTTATATATATACACCTGCTGAAAGATACAGTCAAACTGAATTCAATTATTCAATTCTCTATTTATCCAACGTAGAATAGTTTCGCCTAAATTTATATACAAGATTCTAACAACGAAAAAATGGGTCTTATTACGCCGTACCGATGTTACAATGGCCTCAAAAATTCGAAGAATTTACCCAATCGCAAGAATTGCCGTAATTCAAAGAAATGTGGTTTTGGTTCGTCGATCATAGCGGTCTAATTCAATGTTATTATTTTACCAACGCTGCATATTACATAATGGTAAATAAGAATCAATATTTAGGTAAGGATTATTTCCTAAAATTCTAAAACAAACGCACAAGAAGACGCTTATCTGCCCACAAATGTTCATTGGAGTATAACGCTGTATCGCATGTACGTGAAAGCAGTATACGCGTGAAATGAAAGCGATTCCATAGTTTGGAGAAATTGAATATCAATTCGTTACGTTCATTTCCTTGGTAAACCAACATAACATTATAAAAAACAGTTGTAGATACGTTGTTACATTTTCTAGAACTGGCTTGATCTCCTGCGTATCAATGCATTCTCATTTGATATGTAAATAAGCCAGGTTTAATTTCGCATCGCTCGCCAGATGCTGAGAATACACAAATGTTAATCATCCTCATTGTACACTACTCCAAAGATGGCGAACACTTTCTTCTTTACTCAGATGACGTTTGCAAGTCGTACATACGTGGGGGCGAGTCATAAAAACACGCTAAAGCACAAAATGTACTGCACCATTTTCTGTCGCGTGTGCTTCTGTTTTACTCGTAACGTAATTTTTATTTTGGTGTTCAACAAATTTCAATCAGATTCGTGATTTATTTTTGTGTTTTAGGAAGGGTTCAAACTGTGAAATTTTCCCATAGTTTCGTCTCAACCTATTTTTTGAATTAAAATATCTCTTGGAAAGGAGGTCAAACTTGAACAGCAGTAACCAAACTTGATTTAAGTCTCAGATTATTTCAACTTCACGCCCTAGCCGATAAAGACGCCCCATTTCAAAACGACCATTAGAGATTGGTAATCTTGATCGTGTTTCAACTACCCCCAATAATATTTCAACTTGACTACCACATATTTATTGAAAACGGATGAACACACTTATATGAAGCATAATGTGTTTTGTAGACACATATTGCGCCCTGCAATGAGGCACTAAAATTCAAATTGAATTTCTAACTGTTAAGCTGTTATGGTGTTGAAGACAAACGTGTCAAATTGGTTAGAAATGTCCAAAGTATATCCGAAAAAAAATAATAATAGATCTTCATATTTATTCCAGACTATTTTCACCAATACCACTATTTTCAATTACACACAAACTATAATTTTAAATATTTTAAAATAAATTATATTTTTACAATAAAATTATAAAAAAAAAATTTATTACAAATTTAGTCAGTTACGTTTTATTAAAATTGTTTTGACACCTCATGCCATATGAATATTCATTACGTCAAGACCTATTTCCTGTTTAGTGACAATAGGTAGGTCAATAGGGTTTCACTTTTATTTACAGATGCAATCAGTGATGACGTACCGTTTGCTGCGGTGGTCTAGGCTAGGGCAGCGTTTCTCAAACGTTTTGCCTCGGAAACCCTATTTCTTTTTATTTCGCCTCACGGAACACCAAGAATTTAGAAGGTAAAATTGATCCCAAAAATGTTGTGTAACGGATTTACTTTGTGAATTAGTGTGCAAAACCGGCTTATCATGACATTTTTGAGGCTTCCAGTTCTAAGCCAATTATCCATTAAAGGGGGTAGTTTTCAAAAAATTTAGTCTATGGTAAAATTAAAAAACTTGCTGTAAACTTGACAATTAAAAAATCAGGCCGACGGTTAACGGTATTGAACGGTTGACGAAAACGACATGATTTCCAGGTTGCTACTATGGAAAATCTAGCTATTTCTGTAACCTAACTCTGGTCTCTGAAGTCTCGTCTCTGAAAAACTATAGTTCCAGTTTCAGGCACTAAACGGTAGAGTAAATAGCTTGAAACTGAAGTGAAAACATCGTTGGCTATAGCAAGCTCCTTTCTCCCAACTTCATCCGACAAATCTAATACGAAATATTTTCGTCAAAATATTCATTTTCGCGAAAATATATTATGAGTCAACCGTGCTGCCCCAAAGTTTAATACTAAAAATAACAAATATTCACCGGATCTTAGATTGTTATATATGTAAAATATTTACATTCGCTTGAGATTTCGTAACTAAACCTAATACTTGCCGCTCTCATTTTATTTATGTTGATATGCTATCAGTATTGCATATAAAAATATTTGCTGATATATTTCAACAAATGTCACGTTCGCGTTAAAACATTCTGTATTGCAGGACGTGAATCACCCAGTTCCCAAGTATGTTGGAGATTTCGAATTCCACATAACTGAGGCATGCAAACACATAGCACGTATTTTTGCGGAAGCCTTACAACGGAACAAATTTGAAATCTGAGTTAACAAATGGATTTTTAGTACTTTGGTTATCTTTGTGTTATTGCCAAATTGATAGATGTAATATACTAACATGGCGTGTATAATTATTTCCAAATTCTATTCTTTTCTGAAATATTTTTGAATACGAATACTCTGAAATTCAATTTAATTTGCTATGTATTTTTATTCAAAGCCTCATAAGTCTCCCGTTTCAAACAAGACTAATTCAAACCTGACTAGTACCTTATATATTAGAAAAGGTCTTAAATCTTTCTCGTTGCCATTGCCTATCAATTTATTGCCCCCTAGGAGAGGGCTTGAATCCGAGATATTTAATCTGCGATGCTTCAATTGGGCAGACGGTCCCGCTAAAAACGGATAATATTGGTATTGGTTTGAAATGAAATATTGTGTTTAAACATTAAAAAATTAATAATCAACTTAAGATTTTATTTAAACTGGACTCTGCTTTATTAGTCTTGTTAATTCGATGTTAGACATATAATCTATTGGTTATTTATATTAGAAAAAAAAATCCGCAAGTTTTGATTTGATGATTTACCATTAAAACGGCCGGTACAAAAACCGTTTAATATTACTCCAAATTACTAAACCAAAATTTCGAATAAGTAAATTGAGAATATTAGCATGAGATCTTTGGCTATTGTATAAACTCTTGACTTATTTATGCTTAAATATCAAACCAGGTGAAATATGGATTAATTGGATAAAGCCACCCCAGCCTGTTACGCGATGTATAAAAAATATCATTGGCCTGGCTTTCAAATGATATGGGCGATACAGTACGATTCGAAGAACTTCTCAATGCTGACGAATTTCACTTACATTAGCTATCCTATCAGTAATGTTTATTTTTCCCATGATAAAATTTTTCCCTGCCAGCAGCAAAATCAATTGTTAGCCGATTTTAATACAATTTCGGTAAATAACGGTGAAATTTTATGGTGCTTTGAGTTTTATGTTTAATATGACCTTCGACTGTATCATTACTGTATCATTACAGTCGATGGCCAATGAATTGTTAGTGTTACGTGATTTTGCGGTTTCAATTCCTTCAAAAAGGTTTTTCTGACGTAGACTGCAAAAAGATAAAAACAAGAGTCTCAAAAAATTTGTGCCTTTGAATTTGCTTGTCTTATCGAAGTTGTAATTTGAATAATGTTGGATCGAGATTACAAGGCTGTCAAAACTACTTGTCAACCCTTATAGGTAATGTTATACTCAGTTTTTTAACTATTGATCTTCACGCTAGATTAAGGTAAACAATTCATTATTTGACATAATAAATTTTCCATTTTAGATCATCTGTGTGGATATGAACTGCTGGCTTGTGGCCACAATTGCGTCAAGAACGCTTCCTGTTTATCATCATTTGATTTGGGATTCTTAGGAAATTTATTTCCAACAAACGAGACAAAAACACAATTAAAGGCTGACATGTTACCAACAAGAATTTGAACACACTGGTACATTCGAATGCCCTTCACCACAATAAAATGTCAAATATGTCTATTTACATTTGAAATTGTCTCGCGCTCAAGGTTTGAGGCCTCGCGACCTTGCCCCAGTCAACGCGATATTGGGGTTATTTTCATTCAATAAGTCATGGATTCGGGTGGAGGGCCATCTTATTAATTTGAGAATTAAACATATTCGAGCATCACTGAAACCAACCCAAATCAAATTCGCAAAGAATTTGTGGTTATTTAATTGATATTCGAAACTTTGATACGAATATAAAAATATTGAATCTACTTTGTAAAATAATCTATTCCGGTCGCAAATTAATGGATATTTCGTACTCTTTCTGTTTTGAAAGCAAATATTTCATAAAAAAACAAATCACTTAGTATAATAACATGAAATATAAAATTAACTTTTATTTTCGCCTAATAAATGTTTAAGGTAACCAAAATACTTTGATATTGTGGTTCCGATGGCGCACTTGCGTTGATTGTTACTATTTTGCTACCACAGATGATTATCGACTACCAACTACTTCCAATGGCAAGGTAAATGTAAGGCAATGCTTATTTTGGGACATCCGGTTGTCTACATTCCAAAAAAATTCGAAAAGATATGTTCAAAGCCCACGAAATTGAATTACCACTTGATGGCGCAGTTTCAACAATAAGCAAAATTAAACAACAAGCGAGAGTCAGAACTCGAATAGAATTCAATAAAATATGTGCAAGTAAAAACTTGCTTAAGGCCTTCAGCTACTGCAAATTTAGAAACGATTTGTTCGGCAGGTACAAAAAAAATATTTATTTGATCCATAAATAGCAACAAAACGATCCGTGCCCAATTAATAGCAGACCGACGCGGCACAATCACATCACTACGTTATGTAATTAAATACGTGGAAAGAAATGGAAGATGCCATTTCTTCTACGGCAGTTATCCTCTCTCTTGTCTGTTTCTAAGTCCCAAGTCGCCATTTGATTCAGGAATCTGCCATTATAACGTCCGCCGAATATCGAAGACAGTGAAAATGGGAAAATGTCCAAGGTGCACAAAGGAGGTTTACCATGGTAATATATTTTTCTTGTTGAGTGTATAATCAGAATGCAAAAATTAGAGGGTTTAATTTTATCCCTTATTATTAAAATTGAAAATTTAGAGTATTTAGTACTAAAAATAAGTTATTTGCTGTTAATTTTTTATTTTGTACTTGTGCGTGAAATTCGTCTTCGAGCATCTCAAACAAATAACCGCAATTAGAACAATTCGCTTTTCCCAATATTTTTTGGAAAATGACAAAAATGAATGTGATAAAATAAAATTTTCAGCGAAATATATGATGAAAACTCAAATTTCCAATTTCCAATAGTAATTTTAAGTGAAAGTCGTTTGAGATATTTCAAAAATCTAAACAAAATAAAATAGAATTACGTAGCTTTTTATGCGGTAATAATTGGCCATAAAATAGAAGAAATGAATTATTTTATGATAATTAATCTCTTTTTCAAACAGCGGAGAAGATACCAGCAGCAGGAGCAGACTGGCATAAGGCTTGCCTGAAATGTGAGAAATGCAAAAAGGGGCTTCAACCCGGCTCTTTTTCAGCGGTGAGTTCAGGGGTTTTTAATATTGTTACTTATTCGCGTATTAAGTTGAAGCTTTTCTGGAATAAGAAGATTTGTAGTCAACACATTTTTACGAGTTGCATTTTATTACCTTGAAAACGAATCGATCTAAATTATTGCGACTTAAAGGCGCTTTCCTAGTATTATAGTTCTCTTTCGTTTAAATGAACCGCCTCTCAACTTCACTATTCACAGACAGATACCACTGTATTGGAGAAGTTTTTCGATCATATACAAGTGATTACAAATGATTACAACACAATCTCATATTACATTGACTACATATTTACAATTCAAGCACTCCGGATATATTGCAGATAAATCTCTCATATATGTTTCATGTAATTTATAGTTCATGTCTGTTGAGGCTTCCATGGTGTGGGTTGAAATTGGATAGCTCAGTTGGAAATCAGCAATCAAACATTGTGTTAAAAACAGCATATCAAAAACAAACAAAACGTGATTTGATATAATGTAGAGCGCTGTATTTTTGCTTTCTCATTTTGTTTGAATCCATCCATTTCGGTATAGTTTGTAATTGGCTGCAAATTGTTTTCTATTTTTGACAAGTTAATTTAAATTTAGAAAAATGAATTATTCTATTTGCCTTTATGTTGAAACTTGTTATATTCATCACTGAGCCAAATGGCATGCAAGTGCATACGCAAGTGCAAATGATTGACCCGCAACAGCTTTTTGATGTTTTTTAACATTTGGGTTTTGAAATCGCATTCGTTTAACGCTTTAGAACCAAGATGCTGCTCCTAAAATACATTAATCCTGTGACCATATTCTAATTTGTGAAATTTTAATATCGCAGTAACACCTTCCCCATGCGAGGTCGTCATTTGGCATCGTAGGAATTTGCGTATTCTATTTTCGTAAATGACTTGTCATTCACACGCCAGCTGCAATGTAAAATACTGGAACAAGTTAAGAAGGATGTGGCAATGTCTCGATCAGAACCTCCAGAATGTACGCCTAGTAATGTTTTATCACATGGATCTACGTGATTTACAGAAATTCAACCAAAGTAGCTGAAAATATATCATTATTTTGTTCGCCCTTGAAAACAGTATGTACAAACGTGTATGATTGAGATTACTTGCTGTGACATCATAGTACAAATCTTACGCCACAAAGATGAGCCACGCCCAAGACAAGCCCCAAAATAGGCCAATAACAACAGTGTTTAGCTCTTACGCAGCGAAAGTTCGTTCAACAATATTCCCAAAGGATAATGAGCGAAGTGATAACAGATTGCAAAAGTTGTTAAATTTGATGACTTCATCGCACACACAAACGAATTCCATAGAGACCACAGAAATATTTGAAATAAATGAAAGTAATAGCCTTCTATCGCCAAATACATTCTTGGACCACAGAAAATTTCGAAGCAGTTGATCTAGTAAATAAAAAGAGAAGCGATTTTTCCGTAACATCAACATAAAAAATAATACTAACAACAACATAATATCAAAACGATGTATAGGTCCACTTCGTGTAGAATAATATTTCATACATAAATATAATCATAATGTAATTATGAGGAAATATCATTTATAATTATCATTTCAACAGATGAACAGATTATAAGATTATAATTCGTATGCATGTTGTAGTCGCCCAGACTAGAAACTGTTTAAGTGGATTCAAATTCTCTTGTCTGCGGCTTTGTAACTCCAAATTTGTCCTTAGTCATCAGCACAGCTGCTAGCGGTTACAAAGTTTGATACTGTTATAAAAATACCCACAATTTAGTATTAATTTCCTGGTAACCCGATGATCGGTAAGTAAATTACATACAAACGAACAGCCTATAGGGAGGGTCTATTAATTTTGATTAGAACAAATTTGTACAATCTTTATTAATCCATGACCCACCAGGGTGTTGCAATAATGTTTTCAGTGTTCTAGCCGGTGCAATATATAAACATATGTGATTCTTTCTTCTAACAATACCTCGCCCCGTGAGATTGGAAGTTACAATTTTATTACCAACTTGTGAACGAGAAATGGTTCGTAAACTACAAATGCATTATTTATCTGGAAAAAAGGTCCGAGAAGGTATTGATTTCACGACTGCATTCAATTGATAACCCAGAATTTCTTTTTTTTCAGCATGATGGAATGCCATACTGCAATCAGCCATGTTACAATGCTTTATTTGGACCTGACGGTAACATACAGTATTTCACACTTTGAAATTTAGTTTATTTAACATAAATGCATGCTTGCATATAGTTACTCGTTTAGTGCAAAGTGCCTACCATCTCAATTAAACGTTTCTATATCATTTATTTTTAGGTTGCGGAAGAGGAGGACAAAAGCACAAATATTAGTAATAAATTTGAAGAGATAGACAGGTTGAATGTGTAATAAATTTTTATTGTTATTGTTCCTCTATCAGAGAAAAATTTTGCAAATTGATCGTTTTTCGTTCTCAGTTTATTGTGATATTTTGTTTAAATTTAGGTTCGTGGCTTTCATCTCATATTAGAACTAACTAGTGTTTTCCCACATTAGTAAGCAAAATTCTGAACAACAGTCAACTTTCATTTATACGATCTATTTTTACCGAGTGGATATTATTTTTTTGTACTGTTTGTGAACCATTTTTTCACAACAGATCAGTAGTAGAATAAAACGAAACATATATATTTCGATTTCTGATTACACATATACGTTTGGGTGCTGATTAGAGGTTATCTTGTTCATATTTGCTTAAAAGTTGTGTACCACATTAAAACTATTTGAAAGATGAAAGATATTTAAGTTCAAATCCCGTACTAACAAATTACAAAAATGTGGCCCGTAGCGTCATTGTCTGTGGCCCGCGTCGCCTTTGCTGAAGTATAATCGAAAACTCGCATTTGATGTTGATTCGTCATATAAATAACAGAAAATCTTTCGACATCTTGTTACATCCTTAATGTCACTGAATTGACTAGTGTCACGGCTAGATGAAGCAACTAGCGAAGTTGAATTGAGTGTGATTGGGTAGTCTAAATTGTTAACTGGCTTTTTATTTATTTGGTTGGGAATATATTCCAACAGGTATAATAACTAAATATGATAACTAAATATTAATGTTATGGCCTGAGAATATAATTTGTTGCGGTGATGTTTTGCAACCAGCCTAAACAGTTTGCAAAAAAATGCTTCTAATATTTTAGAAAAATTAGTGATTACTCTCCTATACTTAACATTTTGTATAATATGATAATCAATCAATCAGTGGCATTTTGCTATCATGTGAGCAATCAGCATTTTCAAATTTTGAGGAACTTTGCTTTGAGAACCCCATCGATGTTCGAGAGCTCTTACATTTGCGGGAGCACTTTCTCCGTTAAGAAGAGTTTGGAATCTTTCCTTCAATGTAGATATAGCAACATTTTTGCATGTTTCAGTGATTTTTCTAGCGTATTTTGTAAGATTTAGCTCGATAAATGACAAACAGTGATCAATCGTTTGCACAATAAAAGTGTTCGTTGTTTACATATTTCTGACGCTATTGTGGCCCGCGGACAATGCAAAAATATTTTTGTGGCCCGCGAAGATGACAGCCTTAGACCAACCTGGTCTAAGTTATAAACTTTCAATCGATGTTAATATCATATATAACGGTTTGTTTCTCATCTTAAACAGACATATCGTATTTAAATTAAATACCTTCAACCAATGGTAATTTCGGAGGAAACATTTTGCTACTACTATCACAGCCACCATAATAGATATTTGACTTCTAATTGCTACGTACATACACGACCTCTGGGAGTGTGTGGAGTGTACTACTTTCGAATGTACATATGAAAAAATTGGAGCGATACAGAGAAGATTAGCATGGCCCCTGCGCAAGGATGACACGAACAATCGTGAAGCATTCCTCTTTTTTGTGGGAAATCTCTAATTTCACTCAATTTCAGGAAAAAAGTGGAATATTACTAACAGTTCAATCTCTGTTTAATTACACCAGTGAATTTGACTATTTGTCTAAAAAGTATGAATTGATGAGAAAAAAGCCCAAATTATAAACTTTCAATCGATGGTAATATCATATATACCGATTTGTTTCTCCTCTTAAACAGACATATCGTATTTAAATTAAATACCTTCAACCAATGGTCATTTCGGAGGAAACATTTTGCTACTACTATTACAGCCACCATAATAGATATTTGACTTCTAATTACTACGTACATATACGACCACTGGGAGTGTGTGAGTGTACTACTTTCGAGTGTACATATGAAAAAATTGGAACGATACAGAGAAGATTAGCATGGCCCCTGCGCAAGGATGACACGCACAATCGTGAAGCGTTCCTTTTTTTGGGAAATCTCTAATTTTAATAAATTTTACGAAAAAAGTGAAATATTACTAACAGTTCAAACTCTGTTCAATTAAACCAGTTAATTTGACTATTTGTCTAAAAAGTATGAATCGATGAGTGAAAAGTCTAAGTTATAAACTTTCAATCAATGGTAATATCATATATAACGGTTTGTTTCTCCTCTTAAACAGACATATCGTATTTAAATTAAATACCTTCAACCAATGGTAATTTCGGAGGAAACATTTTGCTACTACTATTACAGCCACCATAATAGATATTTGACTTCTAATTACTACGTACATATACGACCACTGGGAGTGTGTGAGTGTACTACTTTCGAGTGTACATATGAAAAAATTGGAACGATACAGAGAAGATTAGCATGGCCCCTGCGCAAGGATGACACGCACAATCGTGAAGCGTTCCTCTGTTTTGTGGGAAATCTCTAATTTCACTCAATTTCAGGAAAAAAGTGGAATATTACTAACAGTTCAATCTCTGTTCAATTAAACCAGTTAATTTGACTATTTGTCTAAAAAGTATGAATCGATGAGTGAAAATTCCAAGTTATAAACTTTCAATCGATGGTAATATCATATATAACGGTTTGTTTCTCCTCTTAAACAGACATATCGTATTTAAATTAAATACCTTCAACCAATGGTCATTTCGGAGGAAACATTTTGCTACTACTATTACAGCCACCATAATAGATATTTGACTTCTAATTACTACGTACATATACGACCACTGGGAGTGTGTGTAGTGTACTACTTTCGAGTGTACATATGAAAAAATTGGAACGATACAGAGAAGATTAGCATGGCCCCTGCGCAAGGATGACACGCACAATCGTGAAGCGTTCCTCTATTTTGTGGGAAATCTCTAATTTTAATAAACTTTACGAAAAAAGTGGAATATTACTAACAGTTCAATCTCTGTTCAATTAAACCAGTTAATTTGACTATTTGTCTAAAAAGTATGAATCGATGAGTGAAAATTCCAAGTTATAAACTTTCAATCGATGGTAATATCATATATAACGGTTTGTTTCTCCTCTTAAACAGACATATCGTATTTAAATTAAATACCTTCAACCAATGGTAATTTCGGAGGAAACATTTTGCTACTACTATTACAGCCACCATAATAGATATTTGACTTCTAATTACTACGTACATATACGACCATTGGGAGTGCGAGGGGTATACTACTTTCGCGTTCCTCTGTTTTGTGGGAAATCTCTAATTTCACTCAATTTCAGGAAAAAAGTGGAATATTACTAACAGTTCAATCTCTGTTCAATTAAACCAGTTAATTTGACTATTTGTCTAAAAAGTATGAATCGATGAGTGAAAATTCCAAGTTATAAACTTTCAATCGATGGTATTATTTTATATAACGGTTTGTTTCTCCTCTTAAACAGACATATCGTATTTAAATTAAATACCTTCAACCAATGGTAATTTCGGAGAA